ACGGCTGAAAGGGCGAGCATGTTTGGTGGGACGGGGATTCGAACCCGCGGCTTGCGAGTCGGGCGCCCTAACCACCTGGCCATGAATGAAAATAAAGAAGAATGTAGGAATATGTCAACTACACTAAACCTGCTGTGTCCAATAACGACGAGACCTTTCGCCGAATACCGGAGCTTATTAGATTTGTGGGAGATGTAAGACATAACATGGTTAAAAAGTTATATTTATCATCAAGTGCCTTAACATTACACATCAGAATTAAATTTATTAAATAATTGTTTATTATTAACATAATTTATGTATATTATATTACTTGAATTAACTTTTACTCGTCATTCAGAAGAACTGGCGAACAGTAAACTAGCCTTTGCATTTCTTTCCTTTTTTTTCGATAGGCTTGGCGTAGGCCAGGTGGTTAGGCTCGAATCCCCGTCCCATCAAACATGCTCGCCCTTTCAGCTGTGGGGGCGTTATAATGTGACTGTCAGTCCTACTATTCGTTGGTAAAAGAGTAGGCAGTGGGTGGTGATGACTAGCTGCCTTCCCTCTAGTCTTACACTGCTAAATTAGGGATGGCTAGCGCAGATATCCCTCTTGTAGCTTTACGCGAAATTCAAAACAAAGAAACAACAGTGGTTATAGCGGACCATGGGCCTTCGTAAGACGATTATCCTATCGCTAATACAAACTGGGATAAAATTTGCCCTCCCACTTCGCCCCCCCCCCCCTAGTGGCACAGTGGTATGTCTGCGGACGTATACCGCTAGAAACCGGGTTTCAATACCCGTGGTGGGCAGAGCACAGATAGCCCTTTGTGTAATTTTGTGTTTAATAACAACAACATCCCCTTCACTTGACCGTACAAATTAGTGCCCTTACCCATGCCATGCAGGTTCTGAACCTTCAAATATACACAAAACTTCACGTTGTTGATATTGTTGTTTCAATGACATAGAAATAATTGTTTGTTTTAGAGCAAAATCACGCTGGACTATCTGCTGTGTCCACCGTGAAGAATCAAACATCGGATTTTAGGTAGCGTTATAATTCTATAGATTTACCGTTGTCCCACTGGGGGACCCTAAAAAGAAACATTTAGTAATTTAAAACGTCTTTGAAAAACAAAAATATTTATTTCATAATAATTCGCTAACAGCTATTGCTAACTCAATTTAAAATCAGAACATAGTTTCTCTAATGTAGCGTCTTTTAGCGTCTTGCTGAGATTATTTTTTACTGATATCTGAATCAAAGCAAATATTATTTAAAGAGCCAAAAGACTGATTATTTATGAAAAATCAAAACTCGTGTAAAGTAAATATTTCTTACCAGCTTTTCAAATATCGAGCCCCCCAATGGCACAGCGGTATGTCTGCGGACTTACAACGCTAGAATCCGGGTTTCGATACTCGTGGTGGGCAGAGCACAGATAGACCGTTGTGTAGCTTTGTGCTTAATTACAAACAATCAAATATCGAAATTAAACTTCTTGGATTCCTTTCATTTTAGTATCGATACCTCTATAAACAAACAACAAAAAAATTAGTTTTGCTTCGTCTTACTACCATCGGAAATAGCAAGACAAAGTCGAGTACTCGTAGTAAGTTTCAATTAAAAAAAAAAAAAAGATGTATGAGAAAGTCTTTTTAACTGCCTTAAGTACAAAAATTACTACGGAAGACACGTTAGTTATCGGTTTCAGTTGAATAATTCAGAACAAATCTTTTCTTCGCTGACTAAGATAAGATTTTCCTCTCCAAAAGCGTCAGAGTAAAGCAGAAATCGATAAAAGTTAGTGGACTGTGAGAAATCAATAAAAGTAATTGGACTATGGGTATCCTCTAGAAGAACGCTTGGAATAAGGTTCAAGATTCAAAACCATTAGCTTTATTCCACAACGACAGGATCCATAACAGAATCTTTATTAAAAAGACGTGACGCAATGACATGTTTCGTTTCTTTACATAAACATATTCTATGGTAACAATTAAAAACGCCTCACAGTTATGCACTTAAATATATCTTGAAAGCTGGTAGATATATGTGGAACTAGTAGCTTTAAATAAAGAAGTTAACAAGATAGTGGTAATTATCAATATAAAATGTACGTTTTATCATTTTAACGGATTAAGTAAACAAAACTGATCCTGCAATGACATAATATTTGGTTTGGTTGTTGTTAAGCGCAAACCTACATAAGGTATCGAAACCCGATTTTTTGCGTCGTGAGCTTGCAGACTTACTGCTACTAAGTCAGTGGGGATGGTGGTGATTGGTGTTGTTGTTAAGCACAAGATAAACTATTGACTTTCTTTGCTTTGCCAATCACGGGTATCGAAACCCAAATTTTAGCGTCGTAAGCCTGCAGTCTTACTGCTGAGTCAGTGGGGAGCAGGGGACTTGATAGAATTTAAAGACAGAGAAGAACATACTAAATATTAATTGTATCGATATTTTAAACACCTCGGTAAGATCCAAAATGTCTCTTTCCTTTGTATTTTCACGAATATTTTTTATATTATTTTCTAAAGGTTTAAAATTTTTACGATATTTTATATTGTAGCATATTCTGAAGTTCTCATAAACAATTTCAGAATGTTCATGCATACAATTGTAGGTAGATTTAACTAAAGAAATTTAGCCAAATAAGTTGTTTAGCTCCTTCGAGTCCTCCTGTAGGACAGCTTTAAGTCTACAGATTTACAATGCTCAAATCAGGGAAACTCAGTGGAAACAACAGATAGCCCAATGTGGTTTTGCTATAAAACACACACACACAATTCTTTTCGACAAAGTTACCTATTATTTTGAGCCATTCATCTAATGTATCATATGAACCTTCTCATGGGAAATATTATTGTAAAGTTGAACATATGATTCTAGATGCACTTCCGCAGGGTCCCCGAAAGTGTTCTGTTTCAAGAGTAAATAAAACAAAAATTAAGGGTAACAAATACTTTTATTTCCTGCTTTTGAAGTTCATATGCCATGCTGTGTTATAGCCTACGAAATGCATAATGCTTCTCGTGATTCATGGCATCCGCATGTTTTACTGACGTCACGACAGTAGAAACTACAGTGTTAAGCGTGCCTTATTTTAGTGTCTACAAACTGACCAACAAACAACACACTACTGGATTGTTGTGCGAGTGGTTAAAACAGGTGATCCCTATAGGCAGCCTTTGGCCGAAATAAGCTAGACTGTAATCTCTTCAGTTGGTAGGCCAGGTGATACCTTGAGGTAACGATCTCACTTACTTTTCGATTGGAATGATTCATTTGTTTGTTTGAAGTTAAGCACAAAGCAATACAAAGGGCTATCTGTGCTCTGCCCACCACGGGTATCAAAACCCAGATTCTAGCATTGTAAGTCCGCAGACATACCGCTGTGTCACTGGGGGCGGAATGATTCATAATGATGTAAGTTGCACACACACACGTTCTGAAGAGAATAGAACTATTGTTTCATTTATATAAAGCTATATTTTGTCACCAAGTAATTTTAGAACAATTATTCACCCCTATAAAGGGGCTGTCTTCAGTAAATATACTCACATTTAATTGTTTTGTGGCATAAATAAATATTGTTTTCACGATGTTTTATCTTTTGTTCAGCCTCTTTCTTTTTTCACAGTTCCGTCGGATAATTCAAATTTACTATCGCAAAACATTTTCTGTCAAACATCCTATTTTGCGAATCGTATCTGAAAAACCTGTTATGACCTGGTC